CTTTTAATGCTCTATGAGGCATTGCAAACTAGATTGCTGGAGGTATTTTTGGGAAGCGTGGCTTCTTCCCTTTTTGGTCGGTCGGCTCTGATATGTAGCACCGGGTAGATAGGATTTATTTTGATTCTTTTGTGATACATCTGAGTATGTATCTGCTGTTGATATGTTTTGTAAAACATGATGAATGATAACTGTATATGTGAATACATGTTTGGTGAATTATGAAATATTTGGATATTTCCGCCTTTGTTCTAAATATTTCTTGTGGGTGTTATCCCGTTGTTGCATATTTGTTGAGAAGGTGTTGTATGTGTTGGAATTTTTATGTTAATGTGATATTTCCCTTTTATGCCATGTTGCAAATGTACTCTGATGAAATTTTAAATTTATGCCTAAATGATTAATTGTATTATTTGGGGGCATAGAAAGGGGGTGTTACATTAAGTGGTATCAGAGCCTAGTTGAGTCAGTTGTATCTGTCTCGCTGTTTTGTTGGTTGAACGGTTGTTTGACCTTGTTGTTATTTTTGGGAATAATCAGAATATGGTTGGTCGTAATGACAACGCGATGGCTGCGGCATTGGAAGCTATGGCTCGAGCGGTGCAGGGTGCGCCGAATGTGAATGCTAACGATGAGTTTAGAAAGAATCAACCGCCGGTGTTCAAAGGAAGGTTTGATCCGGACGGTGCTCAGATTTGGCTGAAGGAGGTCGAGAGGATCTTCAGAGTTATGAATTGCGCTGAGAGGAACAAGGTGAGACTTGGGTCTCACATGCTGAGAGAAGAAGCCGATGACTGGTGGGTCGGCATAAGACAAATTCTTGGAGTTGATGATGAGGAAATAACTTGGGATTTGTTCCTCACTGAATTTTTGAGGAAGTATTATCCGGAGAGTGTGAAGGGAAAGAAGGAGATGGAGTTTCTAGAATTGAAACAAGGGAACATGTCCGTGGTCGACTACACGGCTAAGTTTACGGAGTTGGTGAAATTCCATCCTCACTATGATGCGGTGGCGGCGGAATTTTCAAAGTGTATTAAGTACGAGAACAGCTTGCGCCCGGAGATCAAGCAAGCTGTGGGATATCAGAGGATTCGAAGATTTTCGGACTTAACCGAATGTTGTAGAATTTTCGAAGAGGATAGTAGGGCTCGTTCTACTCACTATAAGAGTTTGAATGAGAGGCGAGGGAAGCAACCAGTAAGGAGTGGGCCTTATGTGACGCCTGCTGATAAAGGCAAGCATAGGGAACACTTTGTCAAGAAATCTGGAGGAGGGAGTTCTGGTCCCGTTAAGTGCTATAGGTGCGGCGAAGAGGGGCACAAATCTTTTGAGTGTAAGAAGGCTGGGGAAAAGTGTGCTAACTGTGGTGGTCTCGGTCATGCTACAATTGAATGTAGAAGGAATGTGATTAAGTGTTTTAACTGTGGGGAGGTTGGTCATATTAGTACGAAGTGTACTAAGGCAAGGCAAGCTCCGTCAAGCGGGAAGGTATTTGCATTAGCGGGTGCAGACACTACTAATGCGGATCGGTTGATTAAAGGTACATGCTTTATTAATAATATGCCCTTAGTTGCTATTATCGATACCGGAGCGACTCATTCGTTTATTTCTTTCGAGTGCGCTAAGCGTTTGGATTTGTGTTTTTCTTCTTGTGGTGGTGATATGGTTATTGAGACGCCCGCTTCGGGGTTGGTAACTACGTCTTCGGTATGTTTGAGTTGTCCCTTGACCATGTATGGTAAGGACTTTATTATGGACTTGGTGTGTTTGCCATTAGAAGGATTAGATGTGATTTTGGGTATGAATTGGTTGCAGTATAATAGAGTTCATATTGATTGTTATCACAAGTTGGCGAGGTTTCCATCTTTGGGAGATGAGGAGGAAGAGAGTTTTCTATCCACTAAAGAGTTGAAGAAACTTTTGGCGGATGAAGCTCAAGTGTTCTGTTTGTTTGCGTCGCTGTCGGTAGAGAATAAGGTTGAATTGGATTTGGTTCCAGTGGTATGTGACTTTCCAGAAGTATTTCCAGAGGACATTACGGATGTACCGCCAGAAAGGGAAGTTGAGTTTTCGATTGATCTAGTTCCCGATACTAGACCGATTTCGATGGCACCGTATCGTATGTCGGCATCGGAGTTGGTAGAGTTGAAGAGACAATTGAATGATTTATTGGAAAAGAGATTTGTTAGGTCGAGTGTTTCTCCTTGGGGTGTGCCAGTATTGTTGGTAAAGAAGAAAGATGGGAGCATGCGGTTGTGTATTGATTATCGGCAGTTGAACAAGGTGACTATTAAGAATAAGTATCCGCTTCCTAGAATTGATGATTTGATGAACCAATTGGTTGGTGCCCGTGTTTTTAGTAAGATTGATTTGAGGTCAGGTTATCACCAGATTCGTGTTAAAGGAGAAGATATTCAAAAGACGGCTTTTAGGACACAGTATGGTCATTATGAATTTTCTGTGATGCCATTCAGAGTTTCTAATGCGCCGGGTGTGTTTATGGAATATATGAATCGTATCTTTCATGAGCAGTTGGATCGTTTCGTAGTTGTGTTTATTGACGACATTTTGGTTTACTCTAAGTCCCAAGAAGAGCATGAAGAGCATTTGCGGGTTGTGTTGCAAGTATTGAAGAAGAAGCAATTGTATGCTAAGTTATCCAAGTGCGAGTTTTGGTTATCGGAAGTGAGTTTTCTTGGGCATGTTATTTCTGGTAATGGTATTTGTGTTGATCCGTCCAAGATTGATGCGGTGATGCAATGGGAGGCTCCTAAGTCGGTTACGGAGATCCGAAGCTTTTTGGGCTTGGCCGGTTATTATCGGAGGTTTATTGAGGGATTTTCGAAGTTGGCACTTCCGTTGACTCAGTTGACTTGTAAGGGAAAGACTTTTGTTTGGGACATTAATTGTGAGAAGAGTTTTGTTGAACTTAAGAGACGGTTGACAACGACGCCGGTTTTGATTTTGCCAAATCCGACGGAAGCGTTTGTGGTTTATTGTGATGCTTCTTTGTCCAGTTTGGGTGGTGTTTTGATGCAAGACGGTAAAGTTGTGGCTTATGCTTCAAGGCAATTGAGAGTGCATGAGAAGAATTATCCTACGCATGATAATGATAAAGGGAACTACTACAAGCATGCAGTAGGTAGTAGTCATTTCTCTCACAATACTACTTACAGTTATGAGGGATAAGTGTTAGGATTATTCAATTTCAATTCTTATTGTTTCTAAATCACTCCCTATTCAAATCTACTCATTATCATTCTTATTAAAATATTAGAGAAAGTATAAAGCATGTGATTTAATGTGGAAGATGAAAAAGTGAATCATTTCTATAATAATATATTGGATTCAGTCGACCACTATCACAATTTCTATTTACACTCTCTATTAAGCTCAATTACTAAATCTAGCAATTCTATATTATTCTACGAAATAGAAATAAATCACATGAACCAATTAATTTATATACATCTAATAATTCATATAAATCAAACAATTCATATAAATTCAATAAATCAAATAATTCAAATAAATCACATAAATTAATTAATTCAAATAAATCACATAATTCAATTAAATCAAATAGACGCACATTACACAATTAATCAACTAATTTAATTAAATAAATAATTACTAAAATTGTGGTGTTACATTTGGCATGTTCGAAGTGAAACCTTCGTCATAAAAAATATTATTTGTAGTAGTGATCCAAATAACCAACAATTCAACTTTGGAAGGGATCTTAGAATTTTTTTATAAGATTCTCGTTGACAATTGTTCACCAAAAGCAATGACTTATTAGCAATGTTGCGGAGGCAAAGATTTAATTCACTAATAGTATCATCCTCAAGCATCAAATGTAGTGGTAAAGAGTTCAAGTCTTGACATACAAACTTTGGAAGTTCTCTCACGAGTATCTTCAAGAGTTTTCTACACCTTTTTAACAATAGTGCATGTGTTAATAATTCTAAAGATATTTTTGTCGACTTCATTGTAAATAGCATTAAAAATGTGATTCGTAGTGAGAAGAAATGAAGAAGAGAGAAAAAGGTGAGAAAGGAGATGATAAGAGTGAATGAGGTAAAAAAAAAATAGATTTAATGTATTGAATGGTATAAAAAAAAAGTAAAGAAGAAATAGTAGAATAAGAGAGAAGAAAAAATACAATTATTTTTCAAATGACTAAAAAAAACCTTAACTAAAAAAACATAAAATTTAGTGATTAGTTTAAATTAATATTTTAATATGTTTATATTATTATTTTAAATATAATTGAATTATTAATATATCATAATTAAGTCATTTAATTATTTTAATTTAATTTATCTAGTTTAATATAAGTGTTAATTAAATTGATTAATATATCTTTACAATACATCAAACAATAAGTTAATTTAATAAAATTGAACCATGGTTTTTTTTAATTAAACGTTTTTTTTTTTAATTCAAAGTCATGATACCTAAAAACAATAGAATGATATAGTTTTTTAGGTAAACAAAAATTCTTGATATTAAACTTTTTTAAATCAAATTATTAGCATATGAGTTTCAAAAATAAAACCTCAGTCATCTATTAGACCTAATTTGGTCACTTTTTTTATTTATTATTTAAATTGGAGAGAAAAACAAAAGGTAGGGATCACGATAGAATATAAAATTTATAATTTATAATTAATTGTATTGTTATATAATTGGACTCTTATTAGTATCCTTCATCTTCAATTTCAGCTCCGACACCGTTTCCACCACCTAAACCCCCAGATTTGCAAACCTCACTGGAACTGATGCCGCCACTTGCGAAAGTATGTGGATTCACCATTTTCCCACCGCCAAACTTCGATACCACTGATAAACTCATATCAATCTTAGATCCTTTATTATCTTCCATTCCAAAATAGGAGAAGATTCATTCTCCTTCTTGCGAGTCATTCAATTTTGCGATTCCGCCGCTGCAAAAACCACCTGATCGCAATACTTCTACAATGTTGAATTACATGCATATGAAAGTCCCAATGGAGGAAAAGCAGTTTCCTGCATCGTCATGGTCATGGTCAGTTGAGAAGTGTCTGAAAGAGTATGGTGTGAAATTTGACAAGGGTTTGAGTTCTAATGAGGTTCAGAAGTGGCACGAGAAATACGGTTCGAATGAGCTAGCGAAAGAGAAGGGAAAGTCGTTATGGAAACTAGTGTCGGAACAATTTGACAACATGTTAGTGAAGATAGTTTTGGCTACAACCTTTGTATCGTTTCTTTTAGCATACGTTCAAAGAAGTGAATCAGGGAAGTTTGGATTCGAAGCTTACATAGATCCGCTCGTGATCATTTTGATCTTAGTCCTTAACGCGATTGTTAGAGTTTGGCAAGAGAACAACACTGAAAAGGCTCGTGAAGCTCTTAAAGAGTTATAATGTGAATTTATAAAAGTGTTGAAGGATGGATATTATGTTCCTGATTTTCCTGCACGAGAGCTTGTTTCAGGTGACACTGTTGAGTTGCGTGTTAGAGATAAAGTTCTTGTTGACATGAGAGTTGCAGCTTTGAAAACCTCGACATTGAGACTGGAACAAAACTCATTAACGGGAGAACCAATGCTTGTTATCAAAGGCACAAATCCTATTTTCATGAGTGATTATGAATTGCAGGCCAAAGAGAATATGGTATTTGCTGGCATAACTTTTGTCAACAAAGTTGCCTTTGCATTGTTATTACCACAATGATGAACATTGAAATCGAAAAGATACAGAAAAAAAAACCCGAAGCTTCGTTGGAGGAGAGTGATACTCCATTGAAAAATAAATTAGACGAATTTGGTAGCAGGCTAACAACTTGTTGGAACTATAATAATTATAGTAATAGAAATTGAAAAGTGAATTTGAAAAGATTCATTTTAGTCCCACATTGGATGTTGGAATTATATTAATGGGAATTGGAAAGTGAATTTGAAAAGATTCATGTTAGTCCCACATTGGATGTTTGAATTATATTAATGGGAATTGGAAAGTGAATTTGACAAGATTCATTTTAGTCCCACATTGGAGGAATGGAAATATCAGCCTCACTAGCTACCTATAAATAAAGGGTAAAAATTCAGTAGTGAGCACTCCGGATTTCACAAATTCACACGAATTTTGATTTCCCTCTCTTTCCCTTAATTCTCTTCATCTAAACAATTTTCCTTTCTTGGTTTTTTCGACTGGCTATTACAGCCAGATACTGGACTGGCTATTTTCGCCAGATAATTTAGAAAGGTGTATTTCTAGAGCGATTTATCAGTGTGCAACTAATAATCGTAATTTTGAACGGGCTGTTTTATCCTGGAGGCGTCGTCGTAAATCGACTGCTTTGCATATTTTGGCAGTACGGCGAAACGTTTTAAAGAAAGCGACCTAGTACGCGACTCGTCCCGATAATTTCCTTGTGCCAATATTTCAAATCCGAAAACAACAATTTTAAGACGTTTTCATAACTGCCATGGCAACTGAGGAAATTATCGGTACTACTGCGGTCGCTTTGGTCTCTGACAAACCTTTCAGGTTTGAGGGTTCCAATTTCAAACGTTGGCAAGCTAAGATGAAATTTTTCTTAACTCTGAAAAAGGTTGCCCACGTTCTGACTGAGGATATCCCGGTTGTCCCTTCTGCATCATCTGAACTACCTAACAGTAACTCACTTGCAGATTCAGACGGGACTTTCAAAATGTCTGACTCAGATGCTGCAAAAGCTAAGGCTGCAGCAGATGATCTGCAGCTCCGAAAAGAAATCGCCTTATGGCACGAGAATGATTATCTGTGCAAAAATCACATTCTGAACAGTCTTGCTGATGATCTGTACGACTACTACAATAGCTACAGAACTGCTAAACAGGTATGGGAGGCTCTGAAAAGGAAATACGATACTGAAGAAGCAGGTGCGAAGAAATTTGCTGTCAGCCGCTACTTGAACTACAAGATGGTGGATGAGAAGTCGGTGGAAACTCAAAGCCACGAAATTCAGAAGATTGCTCATGAGATTATTACAGAAGGTATGCCCCTTAATGAACAATTTCAAATTGCTGTAATTATTGACAAACTGCCCCCTGGTTGGAAAGATTTCAAAAATATACTTCGTCACAAAACAAAAGAATTTTCAATCGAGAGTCTGATTACTCGCCTCCGAATTGAAGAGGAGGCACGGAAACATGATCAGAAAGAAGAAGTCTTAGTTGTTTACGACAATAAAAAGAAGTTTGGTGCGGTTCTGAAGCCTACGGGCAAACCTTTAAAGAATCAGAACCGCTGTGCTATGAACCGAACTAAGAATGGGAATCCCTCTAGGGCCCCATCGGCTCCATTTGCTAGGCAACAGCCACCACCTCAAAGAAATGATGCTCCGGTTTTCTCTTGCTACAATTGTGGGAAACCGGGCCATATGGCAAAGAAATGTAGGAGCAGGCCTAAACCTGCAGCTGGCTCAAATACACAGGTTAACCTGACTGATGAGCAACTAATTGCCATGATCACTGAAATAAACATGGTTGGTGGAAGTGACGGTTGGTGGATAGACACTGGCGCCACTCGTCATGTCTGCTATGATCGTGCTATGTTCAAGACATACATGAATACTGAAGATAAGAAAGTGTTGTTGGGAGATGCTCACACCACTAATGTTGCTGGAATTGGAGATGTTGAACTGAAGTTCACTTCAGGAAAGACTTTGATCTTGAAGGACGTCATGCACGTTCCTGAAATTAGGAAGAATCTTGTTTCTGGTTTTCTTCTGAATAAGGCTGGGTTCAGTCAAACTTTAGGGGCAGATTTGTACACCATCACTAAGAATGGTATTTTTGTGGGAAAAGGGTACGCCACTGATGGCATGTTTAAGTTGAATGTTGATTTGAATAAAACTTCTCCTTCTGTTTACTTTTTATGTGATTTTAATATTTGGCATGGTAGACTTTGTCACTTTAATAAACGAATCATTTCTAATGCAAGCAACATAGGCCTAATCCCTAAACTAGATATTAATGATTCCAATAAATGTGAATTTTGCAGTCAAGCTAAAATAACAAAGACTTCACATAAATCAATAATAAAAGAATCTGATCCCCTAGATCTTATACACTCTGATATATGTGAATTAGATGGAAGTTTAACTAGAAATAATAAACGTTATTTTATCACTTTTATTGACGATTGCTCTGATTATACTTATGTATATCTAATGAAGAATAAAAGTGAAGCGCTTGACATGTTTAAGGTGTATGTAACTGAAATTGAGAATCAATTTAACAAGAAGATTAAGAGACTTCGCAGTGATAGGGGAATCGAATATGACTCTAGCTTGTTTAATGATTTTTATGCTGAACATGGTATTATACATGAAACGACTGCTCCATACTCTCCTGAAATGAATGGTAAAGCAGAAAGAAAGAATAGGACTCTTACTGAACTTGTAGTTGCAATCATGTTAAATTCTGGTGCTGCACCTCACTGGTGGGGGGAAATTTTATTGACTGTTTGTTATGTCCTGAATAAAGTTCCCAAGTCAAAAAGTAAGATCTCACCTTATGAGATATTAAAGAAAAGACAACCAAATTTGTCTTATTTGAGAACTTGGGGCTGCCTGGCTTATGTCAGAATTCCAGATCCGAAACGAGTTAAACTCGCTAGTAGAGCCTATGAATGCGTATTCATTGGGTATGCACCAAACAGTAAGGCATACAGGTTTTATGACCTAAATGCCAGAGTAATCATAGAATCAAACGATGTTGAATTCTTTGAAGACAAATTTCCCTTCAAATCGAGAAATAGCGGGGGCACACAATCGAGTCACATTCCTGTGATAAAAAGCACTGAAAGCAGCGACAATGTAGAAACAAAGCTTCGAAGAAGTAAAAGAGCAAGAGTTGCTAAAGACTATGGGCCCGATTATGCGGCCTATAATGTAGAAGAAGATCCAATAAATCTTCAAGAAGCACTGTCATCTATGGATGCAGACTTATGGCAAGAAGCCATTAATGATGAGATAGATTCTCTAGAATCTAACAAGACCTGACACTTAGTAAACTTACCTCCGGGTTGCAAACCAATTGGTTGTAAATGGGTTTTGAAAAAGAAACTAAAACCTGATGGAACGATTGAGAAATACAAGGCACGCCTTGTAGCCAAGGGTTTTAAACAAAGAGAAAATATAGATTTCTTCGACACCTTTTCTCCAGTCACTAGAATTACATCCATTAGGGTACTCATTTCAATAGCAGCCATTTATAACTTAATAGTACACCAAATGGATGTTAAAATAGCTTTTTTAAACGGTGACTTAGAAGAAGAAATCTATATGGAACAACCAGAAGGATTTGTAATCCAAGGACAAGAAAGCAAGGTCTGTAAGTTAGATAAGTCTCTGTATGGACTAAAACAAGCCCCTAAACAATGGCATGAAAAGTTTGATAACTTAATGATAATTAATGGGTACAAAGTGAATGAAAGTGACAAGTGCGTCTATTACAAATCTGAGAATCGCATTTGTACTATCATATGTCTATATGTAGACGATCTACTTATTTTTGGATCAAACATTCAGGCCATTAATGATATGAAATCATTGTTATGCAATAACTTTGATATGAAAGACCTCGGAGAAGCAAGCGTGATCTTGGGTATCAAGATCATGAGATCCGACCAAGGAATTTCTTTGGATCAATCTCACTATGTGGAGAAGATCTTAAAGAAATATAAATACTTTGATTGTAAACCTGCATGCACTCCGTATGATCCAAGTGTGAAACTGTTTAAGAACACTGGAGAAAGTGTCAAACAAGCAGAATATGCGAGCATCATTGGCAGTCTTAGGTATGCCACTGATTGTACTAGACCCGACATTGCATATGTCGTAGGATTGTTGTGCAGATTTACAAGTAGGCCGAGTAACGAACATTGGCAAGCTATTGAGCGAGTAATGAGGTACCTTAAAAGGACTATGGACCTCGGCCTACACTATCAGAAATTTCCTGCTCTACTAGAAGGGTATAGTGATGCAGATTGGAACACCTTATCGGATGACTCCAAAGCTACTAGTGGTTATATATTTAGTATAGCCGGAGGAGCTGTATCTTGGAAATCAAAGAAACAGACCATCTGGCACAGTCCACAATGGAGTCTGAGATGATAGCATTAGCTACAGCTAGTGAAGAAGCAAGTTGGTTAAGATGCTTGCTAGCTGAGATCCCTTTATGGGAAAAACCTATACCAGTTGTGTTGATCCACTACGATAGTACCGCGGCTATTGTAAAAGTTGAGAACCGTTACTATAATGGTAAAAGACGTCAAATTAGAAGAAAACATAGCACTGTTAGAGATTGTATATCTAAAGGAGCTGTGAGAGTGGATCATGTACGCACTGATGAGAACTTAGCAGATCCTTTGACGAA